GCATGTATCTTTATATTTCTTTTTATGAATATTTAACTATATATATATATACATACAAATAGCTCGCAAATTCATCCAACTGCAAATACAGGAAGGTATATGTAAACCTTGCGTGCCCAACTAATATGTGTGTGCTTCACATACCTCCGGTGCTACTCTGACTCGCTACTGCGGAGCTGGTATCAGCTTCATCAGCTCCGTCTGCAGGGGTTGTCCTAGCAACATCGGGAGCACAGGAGTCCATTCGTTGCGCTCGTATTGATTGGCGGAAGTGATAAAATATGCACAGCTCATTGGCTACGGTGCGGAAACAGTCCATCTCAGTCGACCACTCCACCTGGGCCACGGGGGGTTTCAGATATTAGTGCTATGAGTGATATTAATATTAGGTAGGTAAGGTGGCTGAGAATATCTTGATATGTAATCAATTGAATTCATACATGTTTCAGGGTATAGGGTTTAGGGCTTAGGGTTTAATAATAGTACGGGTTCAAGGGGTCAGTTAGGACGTAAACAAATAGAAACTAGAAACATCTTCAACAGTATGAGCAGCTGAATGTGAACATACACGTGCACCCAATAGACACACATAAGTACACATACTACCGCGGATATAGTGCATGTATACATACACTAACCAAAACATATATACACCGTACATACATATACATACACATACTACAACATATATAGACTACATATACATATACATACACTAGCTACAACCTATATACACCAAACATACATACACATACACTAACTACAACAGATATACACCACACATCCATACACATACACTACCCACAACATATATACACCACACATACGTACACATACACCAACTACAACAGATATAACTTACACCATACATACATACACATAAGCTAACTACCACAGATATAACTTACCTCTGTAGCCAGTCGCAGCATAAACATTGGCAGTCGGTGTAGATCAGGAGTGTAGTGCCGTAAAATAACAGGCAACGCAAGCAACTGCCCATCTTCAGACAAGTCAATGCTGAAATACTGTTGATTGATATATACATCAACGAATGTGGGAGTGAATATGAAAATGTGTGTCCATATACGGATACAATGCACACGCAAACACACACACACACACACATAGATACACACACATATATATATATGTATATATATGTATACATAATACATTTATATATGCATATATATATATATATA